ACACGGATGAGCTCGGTGTCCGTACCAACCCTGGCGTCGATCGGCTCCGCAGACGGCAAGGGGGCGGGGTCAGCAATGGAGCCCGACCAATCCTCAGCATCCGAGGCCGCTAGGGACATACTGTCATCAAGCGGCTCGTCATCCGATCCCCCAAACGAGACCAGGTCACTAGCGATGGCAGAGGGGCGCTGGTTTGGATGGGAGAACGAGACGGGGGAAACCTCTCTTTGTGGAGAGAGTGAGGTACGCGGGCCTTGAGCCGACGTAAGCTCACTCATATCCGAGCGCTGTGATCCTCTACCCCGCTGTTTTTTCCCCACAGGTTCCTGGGAGGAAGGAAACGGGGTGGGGGTGGGGGGTGCGCGAGGGGCTGGGTCGCTTTCTGAAAAAGCTATCCGCGAGCGCAAAGAGGCGAGACTCATGCTCTCGCAGTGGGAGCATGACGTCTCAGTGAGCGCGGCTTCTGCGTGGGATTTCCCCAGACATCGCACGCATTCACTGTGCCCGTCATCAGCGTGCAGTGGTGTCCTGCACGAGCCACAGCCGCCACGGCTGCAACAATGTCGCAGGAAATTTTTCTTTTTTTGTTACCACAAGCAGGAAAGCGTCAACACAGACGCTCTGCAGACGGCTCGTGAGCGAAGCGCTGATCGGGGATGCCTTGAGAGCGACGCGGGAACAGAGCTGCTTGAAGCGGCGATCTGATCCGGTGCTGCAAAGCGGCGCGCTGATCAGTGCTGCTTGAGAGCGGCAAGCCTCCGCAGACGGCAAGGGGGCAGGGTCAGCAATGGAGCCCGACCAATCCTCAGCATCCGAGGCCTCTAGGGACATACTGTCATCAAGCGGCTAGTCATCCGAACCCCCCAAAGGAGACCAGGTCACTCGCGATGGCAGAGAGGCGCTGGTTTGGATGAGAGAACGAGACGGGGGAAACCTCTCTTTGTGGAGAGAGTGAGGTACGGGCCTTGAGCCGACGTAAGCTCACTCATATCTGAGCGCTGTAATCCTCTACCCCGCTATTTTTTCCTCACAGGTTCCTGGAGTCGCTCTCTGAAAAAAGCTGTGGGTGGCGAGCTGCAAGCGGTGAGCAGAGAGTGGAGGCGGCGTGCTGATCTTGCTGCTGCAGAACGGCGGCTGGATCAGCTTGCAGGCGAAGGCTTCAAATATCCTAGAATCAGCAAAGAGCAGTAGATGTCATCGCTGATGGAGAAAGAATCAATGATCCTATGCCGAGCACCTGCTTATATAGCCAGATGCCCCGCCCAGTTTGGTGGGCTCGGGCGCGCTGCTTCGCCATAGGCTCATGCAGCTCCGCTGCGCTGTCGTTCATTTCTGAAACAATGGCAGTGATTGAAAAAAGGCTTCAGTAAATCGAAGAAAAGGAGTTTCCCCTAGCGATGCAATACGAAGTGAAGTATCGAAAGGGAACCAGATTGTGTGAATGTGCCGCAGTGTGAATGTGAGTTTGGGTTTGTGTGTATTTAGCCTAGGATGCTGTGTTGTATATTTGTGTAGGTGTGTGAGAGAGTGTCAGCCTCCTTCAAAGGGAGACTTTAAGACTTTGTCCCCAGGTCGAGGTCCTGTCATCTCAGCCAGAACACAGCAGGAGCTGCCCATCTGCAGAGTCAGGTCTCTGCCTCGGCTTGTAACTCAGTGTGTTAGTGTGATCGCTTCAAAGTATGTATGACTAGAGTCAGTGAGTCAGTGTGAATCGGGAGTGTGTGTGTGTGGCGTGGCGGGATCAATGATTAATTCTCTGTTGCAAAAAACTTAACAGCTCAAAGTGTGGACTGTGCATGTCTGAAATCTGTAAAAACAGGTACGTTCTGTGACGAAGGACAGGAGATATGTGTTAAGAGAGACCACGCTCAAAGAAACTGTGGAATTACCTGTACTTGAATTCCACTGAATCTGAATTTCTTTAACTCTTTTTAGGTGAGTTTCTACAGGCTGCCCCAGAGGGACAGCAGACCATGGCTGACAACAACACTCAGAAAAAAAAGCCCCACTGGACATCACTGGAGATTGGTCTTCTGACAATTGTATCGCTGCTGTTTGTCATTATTGTGGCCCTCATCATCCTCTTCATCACACAGAGTGGCAAAGGTGAGTGCATGAGATTCTTTGTGCTATTGTGTGACAGAAATACAGGCAGTTCTGCTTTTAAGCTGCCTTTTCCATTGTGGTCATTATAGAAATTATTGGAAAAGCTAAAGTTCCTCTTTGGCCATACTGTATTCACACTTAATTGTGAAGGTCCTTTTTAAATATTTTGTTGACTATATGTAACATTGCACCTATATATCAACTGACTCTCATTAGAGTATTAGTAGACTGTCTGCTTAATATCTGCTAACACTTTATTTTGATGGTCCCTCAGCAGGCATTCTACTCACTATAAGTAACTTTGCAAGTACATGTCAACTTATTCCCCCCCAACCCTACCAGTCTATTAATACTCTACTAACACTCTAGTGAGAGTTAGTACCTTGCTAAACTCGTTTTACACAAGCAAATAAATAATGTCAAGTTAATACAAATGATCATACAAGTCTTAACAAGTCTAAGTCTATTACAGAGAAATAATCAACAATGCTTATGCAAAGCATATTACACAGGAACTTATAACACAAATGATTAATTCCAACACTAATTATTAATCACAAATATTCTTTTCCCAAAGGAAATATTCATACAACATAAAATAAAAATGTATTATAAAGATAAATACACTGTTTTGTATTTAATCATGTACATCAGTTCCACATGAACCAGTTAAGTAACATAATTTGTTCAAGTAAATTCAACGTGTGTGTGTGTGTGTGTGTGTGTGTGTGTGTGTGAATGTAGCATATTTTCTGTTATGTACTAACAAATAAAACAAAATAAAATAAAACACCAGAAATAAATAATAAAACCCCAAAAATTGTGCAGTCAGTAAAGGTAGCCAGTAGCCAGTGCAGTGTTCTGCACATCAACACTGTTGTTAAGCGAAAATACTATTTAAACAAATTTTTTCATGCATTTATTTATTATATGGGGAGTCTTATTTGCTTTTCTCCTGTTGAATGAAACAGGTTTAAATCGGAAATAATTTTCTATTAGAAAAATGCACAAAATAGTCTTTAAATAAATGACATAGATGTTTCACTTTTTATACACATTACAAGAATTTTGCTAATTTTCGCCGACAAAACAGTGAATGACGTATCTGCAAGTGAACGGCGTATTATTGTGCCATCTCAAAGAGGCACAAAATCACTTTCACAGACTTTTTCATTAACTGTTCCCTCCTGGTGGAATGACCTGCCCAACTCAGTCCGAGCAGCTGAGTCCTTAGCCATCTTCAAGAAACGACTAAAAACACATCTGTTCCACCTTTATTTGACCCTCTAACTCTAGCACTTTCTATTCTATTTTAATTCTACTTTATCTACATTTATCTTTAATTTTATTTATCTATAATTTTTTTTTAAATATATTTTTCTATTCTATTTTTTCTATTCTATCTACTTGTTTTTCTTTGTGTATGTGTGTGTATATATGTGTGTGTGTTTATGTGTGTGTATATATATATATATATATATATATACACACACCTTGCTACGTGTACTGCGTTAGGCTAACCGAGACTTGTCATTTGCACTTATATATTGTTGCTCTTTTGTTAGTTTTGACTGCTTTTATTGTCCTCATTTGTAAGTCGCTTTGGATAAAACATCTGCTAAATGACTAAATGTAAATGTAAATGAATAGGCCTGTATTGTAAATATACAACACATTGCCATGCTTCATTAAAAATGTTTTATTTAACCAGACAACTACTGCTAAGTGAAAACTTAATTTGGCTCTGTGGTTATTTTCCCAGGGCAGTGTTGAATCAAGCTGGCACATACTGGTGCTTCCCCAAATAATATCTACCCCATAATATGGCTGGTTACCCATGTAAGCCCCTTTCCCTCGTTAGGCCTCTGAGCAGCAGATGGAGCTTATAGGGACTCACTGCAGCTTGCCTTTCACACCCCGATCTTCTGCCATTAATGTGCTGGATAAATGTTTAAACAGCAAAGGCAGATAGAATGCTGAAATACAGAGATGATCTCCACATGCTCTTCCTCTCAGCCACGGGGGTCTGAATAGGAGGGCAGGGCGGTAGGGACTAAGGTCAGAGAGTGGGTGCCTGTTGAATCTTAGTTCAGTGAGAGATTCTCATAAATAATACTGTATGTCTATGGACAGATATAAAATGTACAGAGAGAATTTTCTGTGGATATGTAACTGAACCTACCACAGAGACAGAATCTTCAAATAGATGTTTGATTTATTATTAAATAAATTATTAATAGTGTTAATTTGCACCTGACCTCTGATCCCTTGTGCTTCTTTTTCCTTTGTAGATGGAGTCTGCATAACAGCTGACTGCACACAGTCAGGTAAAGATATTTTACAACATATAGCAAATAATTAATCATGTAATGTCTAAGAGTCAACTGATAGCCTTTCTTGCATATATATTAAAGACTTTTTACATTAAATTTTTTAATTCTCATAAAGTTCATACATAAAAATATTCTCTGGCATTGTAGCATCCCGCCTCATTGAGAACATGGACCCCACGGTCAACCCCTGTGACAACTTCTACCAGTATGCCTGTGGTGGCTGGCTAAAGAAGAACATCATACCTGAGACCAGTTCACGTTACAGTACCTTTGACATTCTCAGAGATGAACTGGAGGTGATACTCAAAGGTAGAATGACACCACCTTACTACTATGGGCTGTAGGGCTAGCTATCATCAACTGAAAAAAAATATCCATGTAATCCAAAGCCAATAAGACCAATTAAAAGAAAAACAGGCATATTTTTGCCTTCACTATTATAGAATAGTGAAGAAATTACTGGAAATTATAGGGAGAAGGGTGTGGGTTCAACAAATGATCCAAGCCAGAAATCAAATTTGGGTAATCTGTAAACAAATGACACCATACAACTAGTAAGGGTATGCAGACACCGTACAACTAGTTAGAGTATGCAGACTAGCTGTCAGGCCATGTCTCCCACTAAGATAAAGTTCATGACACAATTTTGTAATGTGGTTTGTTGTTAGCAAGCGGCTTGTGTCACTTTCACTTTCGATTTCGCGATCACACGCACTCTGTGTAAAAGAAGATCAGATATTTGTCAATGAGCTGAGGATCTGTTGAGCAGCAAATCCTCCAGCATGATCTTGTCAGGTCAGCCATCTCTCCTCTCAACCCGTGATCAGTGAAATCGGACTCATGCAGCTCGTGTTGGATGGTGACCGTGATTTCACCAAGTGCAACATGTTCCTAGCTGGATCAACATCTTTGTTGATACTGGAACAACATTCCAATCAACCAATCAGAATTGAGGGATGAGTTTTCTAGAAATGTCAGTTTTAGGCTTACAATCAGGGTTAGATGCTTCTACACCAGGGGCGTTTCCTCTGAGGAGGCAAGGGAGGCAATGTCTCCTCAAAAAGTTGGATGAGAAAATAATCGATATTACAAAAATAAAACAGCGCAAATATGACTAAATATGATATTAAAAGTCTAAAAGTCACTCGTTTTTATAAAGTAACACTGTCCAACAGCGACAACCACAGGTAAAGTTACAGCGGAGGCTTGCCTCCCTTCGGTCCATTGACTTTCTACAGAGACGAGCTTTTATGACGATAACCCGAAAATAATTTGACTATTAAAAAGAACAGCTGAACATCAGTTCACAAATAAAAAATATTGGTAACATTTTACAATAAGGTGTCATTTAATGAGTTTACTAACATGAACAAACAATGAACATTTATTACAGTATTTATTAATCTTTGTTTACATTAGTTAATACAAATACAGTTGTTCATTGTTAGTTCATGTTAGTTCACAGTGCATAAACTAATGTTAACAAAAACAACTTTTGATTTTAATAATGCATTAGTAAATGTTGAAATTAATATTAACTAAGATTAATAAATGCTGTAGAAGTAGGCTATTGTGCATTCTTAGTTCATGTTGACTAAAGTAGTTAAATAATGTTAACTAATGAAACCTTTCCAGAATATTGTTCAAATTGTTACTGCCTTTAGTTTTTATTTTGGAATAAATATAAAATTGCATAAAAACACTATGAAATGTATAATTAGTATTAAAAATATTAAATAAAATAAAAAATAATATTTATAAAATACAAAATAGAATTATATTTGTTCTCTTTTTTTATGTAATATTTATATATAAATATATAAATATTCTGTTTTACACCCTTATTATTCACCTATCATTTCCCTCTGATTTTAGTAATAAATTATGGGTAGGGTTAGGTTTAGGGGTAGGGATTGGGCTTGGTCTATATTTTTTGAAAGTAATGTTGATCCAGGAACAAAAATCAAACGGCAAAATCACGGCGACCCGTTTGGGATGTAGGGTCTACGTTTGGGATGTAGGGAATTTGGCTACTTTTAAACTGTTGCCATGGGTTGATTTCCCCCCGTGGGTTAAATGATTGAAATGTTGCATAAATTACATTTGACTTGTATTGAATGCTTGTATTGCATTCTACCTATGATAAAACTGTGCTGTTAAGTTTTGTGAAGGACTGGTAGGAAGCTTTTTTGTTGTGTTTATGATCAATATGCATGACAGTGACTGTAAAATATGTATTTTAGGTATGGAAATGACATATTTTGAGTTTTGATATTTGAGATATGGTCATTGCACTACTTTGGGCACTACTTTAATGTCCCCATGAAATCAAAATGAAAGTTTTTTGGGTAGAGATCGACCGATATCGATTTACCGATATTTTTCCCGATATTTAAGCATTTTACAATTTAGTTTCGTGAAGCCGCTTTCATATTGCTGTTCACTCACCGGGTTGATGTGGTTGATGCTCAGGAAATGCTCCAGCACGGCCACCGCATGTAACTTTTAACAAGATTCACTTGTTTAAAACACCCTAAGTTGTATTAACATTCACTATATAACCATTATTTCGCTAATAAAAATCGAAATAAATACATCTCTATGGAAATTAATTTATTATCTCCGCGAGCGATCGCAGTTTGAGTATAGCTCTGTATAAATGCATAGATAAACAGCACTGTCAACATGCATTTCATAATCTAGAACGGCAAAAACATTAGTAATTCTGATAGGAGACCGTGCTGCCGTGACTGTCAAGAGCGGCTCTGTTTAGTGTCCCGCAGCAGAGAGTGTGCTGTCAGCGCAGCTGAAGAGTTCTGCGTTCAAATGCACGCAATAGGCTTAAATTTGCCGCAAAGCACCGGCAAAAGTAATTACCATAAATGCGTCAGGGGGAAACAGTAAGGAGATATTTGAATTATTTACTAATAAACTAGTGTTTTCTGAGTCGGTGTCGCAAGGATGAAGTTGTCGATCCTGACTAGTAACGCTGCGTGTTTCTAAGCATTTCAGGGGACCTTTAATCACAAACGATCCACACCCCAGCTCCCCGCCCCCCTGCACCCACTGTCCTCTTTTTGGAAAACTAAAATATGGTCACCCTAACCTACATAGGCAGTTGTCTACTAAGGTAGCAGCCTAACTAGCCTAACCTATTTAGAATACTTTGCATGGGCAGCAACAATTTGTGCATCATAGAAATAATACTCTTCATGTGAAGTGCACTGGGACTCAACTATTGATTTCCATAGAGTTTGATGTTAGCTAACAATGGCGTACTTTAAAGGGGCCATGAACTGAGAAATCAAATTTCCCTTGATCTTTTGACATATAACAGGTCAATGTACTATAAAAACATCCTGTAGGTTTCAAAACTAAAAACTTTCTCGTTAGTTTAAAAACAGCTTTTATTGAAACCAAGCTCAGAAAAAGACTCCTTTTGGAATGTGCCACTTTATGATGTAATAGTGTGGCTAAGCACCGCCTCCGCAGGAGATCAACGCCTGCTTCGACATCACTGCTTCTTTAGCCCCGCCCACTGATACGCGTTTGTAGTAGGAGGAGAGGAAATACTAGAATAGAGAGACGCAAACACAGGATTACTCCATTAGCAGAACCATACAGATGACATTACAAGATTACAAGACACTGTGTAGTGTAAGTTGTGAAAAACAGTAAAAGTTGTTTTACACTTATGTTAGCGAACCGGATCCACAGCTTTGTGTAAAGACCTAAACAATAATGGTATATGCGTTAGCTGAACACAGACATGGAGTAGGCTACTGATAAATCACTGTAGTTTGTAAACCAACATATTGCTCCATTCTTTATCATGACTCCAAGCAATAGGAACGACAGACATTCTATGTTAATCAACACATTTCTAGACAATAGTGGGCCGACAGTTGGTAAGCAGAACTATAACGCGAGTTTGCCGGAGACCTACAGCTGCACTGAGTGTAAACACAACACACAACACACAACACAACAACACAACACAACACACTACTACACTTTCTTTTGAGAGACAATTACTTTATTTATGATGCACTTTCAGCTTTACAACTTTGCAGACTATTTACATTCACATACACACTGCATGAAAGGTAATTTTCAAAAATCCATAATAGGGGCACTTTAATGTATAAAATAGATAAATTAAATTAAATTAAATTACACTATATTTAATATATGAGTTTAGTTAGAGCCTCTTGGCCACTAAAGCAGCAACTTAAACCATGTAGAATCAATTCAATCTACAGTTTAGTTGTGTCTGATGTGAGCTATTTTAAGCTCAGTGAGACTCTGCCTGAGGCTCTGACGTTGAAATTTAAAGCTGTGCCTCTTATTCCTCTTAATACAGTAGTGAAACCTGTAAGTCAAATACAATTTCATCTATAAATGCTGACAGCACTGTAGTGTGTCTTGAAGGATGGAGAGAGAATTGATGATATACTGCGGGGTTGTACAGGATGTGGACTGATGATGTGGGAATGGCTCTGGGGTGAACGGAGGCCTCAATTTGAGGGCCCTCAGCTCCTGGAGCCATTAGACCTCAGCTGTCTGACCAGGAACGAGGAGCTTATTAACCCCAGCATGGGCACTGATTTACAGGGACAATTTCAGAGCAGCCCCTTGAGGTCAAGAGATGTTTTAGAGGGGGCGTAGATGAGGAAGCATGTGTGCTAATGATCATGCTCCAGGTGGCGGAGGAAGGAAGGCTTGACCTGATAAATGCAGGTTTGGCTGGAGAGGTTAGGAGCTGTAGGGGGCTTTGCACAGACAGAGGCTTGTGGATGTGTTGTGGAGTTAAATGTTATTGTATCTGAGGGGAGCTCAAGATTAAGGGTTCAAATGCTACCAGAGCTATAACTTAAACTTGATACTAGTTCTTGTCAAAACATAGCTCGCTCAGCGCATTTTTTACAGCCCCTCTCTCTGTGGTACCTTTTAAAAATTAATGATCTGTTACAATCAGCCTTTCCTTTATGAGCTTTTAATTCAGAATGGTAATGAGTTCTTGATTTACAGCAAAAATCAACAAGGTTTAGTTTTCATTTACTATCGCCTTGATGAGAATTTCTAAGAATTTTCTCTCCTTATTTAACGTTTAATTAAATGAAAATCATTGCTAATCAATGAACAAACACTGAGGGTGAAATACAAATAATCATCAAGGAGTAGTGAGGATTGTGACTTCCCCAGATAAATCTAAATCCCCTCATTAGCATTTTTCAGTGTGCTGAGCTTTTGAGGGATGAAAGGAAATGCTGATTGGAAAATAAGAATCTATTTAGAGATTTGATTAG